TCTAGTGGCATTCCAACAGAGCCAGATTCTTGCATCCCATTTTTATCTTGTTTCAGTGTTCACCTGATGCAGACCTTGTTTTTGCTGTACAACATCTGAGCTGGTATCTTGTACGTTTCGGCTGGCTGATATTTTGGTCAGCCTCTAGTTTCATTCACAGAAGGAATATTAGCAGACATTGAGGACAGCTACACGCAGGGGCGTGACAAGCTTTTTTATAAGTGTGAGTGTTGAGATTTCTCTGATATATATGTGTGTGTGTGTGTGTGTGTGTGTGTGTGTGTGTGTATATATATATATATATATATATATATATATATATATATATATATATATATATATATATATATATATATATATATATATATATATATATATATATATATACCCGAGTAGGTGTACAGGCGAGGGTCGCGGAGGCAGGCAGTGTTATTGGCAAGGGTCAGCCATGGAAATGAGGTCAGGAGGCTATGAGTGGGTAGGATGGAAATGGCTGGAAGATTTACTAACAGAAGCGTTTAGTAATCTGACTGAGTGCTGGTGGTTGACTGAGGAATATATAGCTGGTGAGGCAGGTGTGTGGCATGAAGGTTGATGAGGTGAGTGATGGTGCATGGAGGTCAGGGCATGGCAGGATCATAATATTCTTCTTCTTCTTCTTCTTCTTCTTCTTCTTCTTCTTCTTCTTCTTCTTCAAGGGTGCGATGCCCATGGCTATAAGTACCTTATTCTACAAGCAAATGGCAACCTCGATTAAGCCACAAGGAAAGGAGCCACAGCTAAATAACTACAACAAGTAAAGCTTGTCCTAAGAAGTCAAGTCAATGGCAAAAACAAGATCCGGGCAATAAACGCCTACACCCTGCCAGTAAGCAGATATCCTGCTGAAATAATAACCTGGCCAAAGAAAGAAATGCAGACCACAGAATCTCCTAACCATGCATGGAGGGTTCCATCCCAGATCCAACACCCTGAGACGACACTAGCTGTAAAGAAGGAGGCTGAGGATAAGAGTGACGATCCAAGATGAAACATCCCAGATCCCTAATTACATCAAGGACAAGGCCCCAACAGATGACATACTCAAATGGAGGAGGAGGTTCTGGAAATACCATTGTGGGAGGACAAACCCCTACATGGGATGTACCACTGACGGATAACTGAAGACGTTTATATCAAGAAATGCTATATGGCTTGAAAGAGCTGGTCTGATGGACAGCACAGACGAATTCATCATGGCTGCATAGGAACACGCCCTGAACACCAGAGCAACAGAGGCCAAGATCTACCACACCAGACAAGACCCGAGGTGTAGGCCATGCAGAGGCCCCTGAGACAATCCACCACATACCTGCAGGGTGTAAGATGCTGGCCGGGAAAGCAAACTTGCCCCTAGGTCAAAGTGGGTAACACCCCCAAGGTGGTAGAGAACGAGAGAGCCAAGCTCCTGTGGAACTTCAAGATCCACAAATCTGTTCTCATTTGACCCATCCCCTAGGGGAGTGGTGAGCTGCAGACACAGCCGCGTTCAGGAGCTGTTTGGTGGCTTAACCCTCTAATCGACCCCCTTATGACTCAACTGTGGATTTGAACCCACAGTCTCCGAAGGCAGAGACTCATACCACTCGACCTCTGAGCTGTAGTTGTTAAACACTGTGCTTTAGCTCTGTTGCCCGACTAGAGGTGAACGCTCTCAAACAAGAGGCATAACAGCTGTAATGGGAGTAGGGGGAGTGGCTTAAAGGTGCAATACTTCCCCCCCACCTTTAGATGTTGTCCTCTGACAAAAACTGCTGGATTTCTGCGTTAATACCAAGATGCCAACCTTTGTTCCACCTCTCCCTCTTCCCTTGAGCTCTTTTTGTCTATTTCACTTTTTTCTCATCCCTTTTCTTTTTATTGTTCATTTTTATTGATGCTGGTTCCTCCGACGTTGTCTCCCCTTCTGTCGCATTTGGATGATCAGGAGGAGAGAAACACACCATGGCAATGCGAAAGACAGTGGACAGCATGGCAGTCCACATGAAAGCGGTGTAAAGTGAACTATGTTGACAAAGGGGGCACAGTTTGCTAGTTGCATGAGGCGAGTTCACATCCACACCTTCACAGGTCCATTTATTTAGGTCATATAGGATGATGAAGCCTTCAGGCTACACAGACTATCACTCTTACTGTAACGTCAGAATGATTATATTTAAGTAGGGTATGGCACACAGAGTTCATCTGTCAAAAAAATAACTCCCAAAAACCATAACAAATTACTTAATTTTTATTGTGTCACTAATATCAGTTATTTGTGTTTTAGATAAATACTGACTCAGACACAAGCGAGTAGATTTGTCCTTGTTTATGTTTGAAAGCGGATGTTTTTTTCCCCGGCACTGCAGCAGTCGTGACGCTGGATTTGAAGAGAATTGGAAAAAGATAAGTGAGCAAGAAAGGTCAAGCAGAATGGGAGACAGGAGAGGTCTCTTTACTTAATACAATAAAAACGTTTACAACATTTATTTTTCTGAGTCAAGCTTTGACAAGATGAGTAACAGGAAAAGGAGACAGAGAGAGGGAATGAAGGTCAGTGTCTCAAAGATGCTTTGTCATTGATTACTGACAAGAGTTATAGGAGTTTAGGGATAGAGACAGAAAATATAGATGGCTGTGCCTGGGTGTGGAGGTGTAGTAGCAAATAAAGCCTTGAAATGCCTGGCTTTGCATGTAATGAGTCAATCTCATATATTAGTTTCACCGCTTATGGTAAATGACTGAGATAAATGAACTTAAGCGCCATATTGGATGTTTCTCAGCTTCATTTATATTGAACATGAACACAAGAAAAATGAACAGGAAGGTGAGTTTTTGACTCAGATCAATTTGAGACATTAAAGACTGTTTTGTCTAAATGAGCATTGATTTATTTTGTATATTTTTGTCATTAAAGAAAATTTAACTGCACATGCAGCAAAAATTATTTAAAGGGACAATATGTCGTTTTTATCGTTAATCTCTGAAAACATCCATCAAAATGTTGTTGAAAATCATTTAAATGATGCCCAGTTGTTGAAAAATATTGGCAGCTTCATAACATATAACAATAAAATCGGTTCTAAAATACAAGGGAGCGGGTCTAAGTCTCTGAGCGACGCCTTGTTAGACACAATGCTTCCTTCTACAGGAGCCTGTGAGGACAAAATTAATTCACTGATTTGTAACAAGTGGTTACAAAACTTTCACCATTCATAAACGTTGTTTTACACATGTACCTCTTTGCTCGTTGCCAGTGATGAAAGAGAGTCTGATGTGCTTGTCGTTTTGCTAGAGGTTGCACTCCCAGGGATATGCGACCTTAGTGGCCCTCCGTTGGTAAGGTCTTACACACAAAAATATGGCTTGCTTGCACTGATGTAGGCATGTGCTGCCCCCTATTTCCAGGGAAAATGCACATAATCACTTTAATGATAAATTGTATTTGTATAGTGCCTTCTAGGGTTTACACCTCCCCAAGACACTTTACAACACAATCAGTCATTCACCCATTCACAGACTGGTGATGATGAGCTACAATGTAGCCACAGCTGCCCTGGGGTGCACTGATGTGAGCAAGGCTCTCGAACAGCTCGCGCCACCGATCCCTCCGACCACCACAGGCGATGTGGGGTAGGTGTCTTGCCCAAGGACACAACCACAGCATTCTCTGCGGGGAGCCTAGATGGATCCAACAACTCACTCTACCTACTGAGCTACTGCTGCCCCACAATAAACTCATGTCTCCATTCTGCTGCATGCATCTTCTCTTCAGCTCACTGTAATGTTTTCATGATGTAATGAAAGACATGGGTTAAACGTTTAGGATCGAGCAGCTTTTAAGATCAGACAGGTGGACTCACACTGTTTGCTTGTACCCTTCCTCAGACGGATGAATGTAGGTGTGTGTGTGTGTGTGTGTGTGTGTGTGTGTGTGTGTGTGTGTGTGTGTGTGTGTGTGTTTTGAGGAACTGGGGCAAGGGGTGTCTGGAAGGAAAGAGGACAGAAATGTGTTTGTGGGACAGTGTGCTAGTAATGTGTGTAACAGAGGACAGCGTGTGTGTTTTTGAGACAGAGGGACAAAGACACATGCTCGCTGAAAGAATCACAGCTGAGTTCAGAGTGATGTAGGTTACCAGCTTTATAGATTATGATAATTGTGCCAGTGAAACTGTGTATGTGGGCATGTCTGTGTTTGAAAGTGCACAGGGGAGGTATGGCCTAGACCATCTGTCTCCCACTTCTCTCACTGAGACACTAATTACAGGACTTTACACTTCAGTCCACACACACGCACGCACGCACGCATGCACACACACACACACACACACACACACACACACACACACACACACACACACACACACACACACACACACGCACACACACTTTTGTCATCTCCATTCTTTATCTCTCATCTTTTTCCTGGTCTGTTTTCTCATCGTCTAGTTTAGAGCAAAGCTCAGTGGTAGAAGTCAGAGTGTGGTTTGGCAGCGGATTACGGACCGTAAATACATCCGATATTTAAAAACATAGAAAAGATCCTTTATGTATTTTAATGAAGGCAAAGGACTGAAGAGGATGAAAGTGGAGTGAATGAAATATTTGAAAGGGGAATCCTATCATAGTCTCTGCCAGTGTGCACAACCCCTCATTAGCATAGATTTCAGGTCACCCACTTTCTCTGGCAAAGAAAGGAGGGCCACGGTGGGGATATGCTTTCTCTGACATCGATTTCTGCTGCTATGGGTGGCCCAGAAGCACACGTTAGCTCAGTGGGCATATCTTTGAAATGGAGATGGCATTGGGTTTTTAAATCTTTGTCATTTTGAGCAAGAGTATTTATTTTATTTCTAAATTTGTCATTTTCTAACATCTCTAGTCATCCGATACTATTTCTTTGAACAGTTTTTAAAGTAGTTTCTCCAGAATACTGAAGTGATTCAAATCTACCCACTTGTGACATTTCTGTGCTTTTCCAGGCAACTATGGGGAAAGTGGAATGGAGGCTTTTAAAGACATGGCAGCCAAGGAGGGCATCTGTATCGCCCACTCAGGTAAGGATGGTCACCACAGCAAATTCACCTACACTTGTCATTTTTATACAGAACTGTGAATTCAGATCACACCCCCTCTTACAGATTACTTCTGTTTGTCACACCAAAATGTTTCAGATTACCAAACAAATTTCAACATAAGTCAAAAATTATCTGAGTAAATACAAAAGGCAGTTTTTAATGATGATTTCATTTATTAGGAGAACAAATCTATCCAAACCAACCAGGACCTACCGTAAATCCTCTAATACAGGCCCGGGCCTGTATTTGACTCAAGCTCATCAAGCTCCAGGCCTTTATTGGAAGAAGGGCCAGTATTAGAGGCAGGCCTCTATTTCTAATTGAGCAAAATGAACTAATGGTTCGCTGGAGTTTTTGACAATTAAAATTGCGCCCACATTTTCAAAGTTAAACATTTCTTTTAACAACGGTAGTTTTTGCTTCAGCCATCTCCCCCCTCCCCCTGCTTCAGCCCTCTCCCCCCTCCCCCTGCGCAGCGGCCGCAAACTCACTGATGTGCCTGCAGCCTCTCGGAGTTCCTGCTGCTCTAAACATTAAAATAATTATTTCATTTTCTGTTCCTCACTTCTGATGACCTTCAATGGTGTCTGTTTGTTGCAACAGCAGGTACAAAAACTAACTTGTTTTTATTTGACTATTTTTCTGTCCTGTCTGTTTATTATCTTCCTGCATCTCCTCTCAATCCTAAAGAAAAACTGCTACCTGGGTTCATATATATTCACCTCATGAGTTACCTTTGAACTGCAGTTCTAAAAGATCTACCGACCGCAGAAACAGCGGAGCGCTCGCTGTTTGGCGGCCGTATCAGTGATCAGTGCGTCGGAGGACAAGGTGATGCGCGCAGCGCCCCGCTCCACAGCATGCAGCGAAACGCATCAGGCGCAAATAAAAGACAGAAAACATTAAAGGAAATGAACTGACATGAACGATCGCGTGTTAAATTAGTTTTTGAGGTGGCGACACCTGATTGTTACTGTGGCCGTGCTCAGGAGGCAGATCTACCAACCGCGAAAACAGCGGAGCACTGCCTGCTTGCCGGCCGCATCAGTGATCTGTGCATCGGAGGACAAGTTGATGCGCCCCGCTCCACAGCAGCGATACACATCAGGCGCAAATAAAAGACAGAAAACATTAAAGGAAATGAACCGACATGAACGATCGCGGGTCAGTACCTACGGTCTGGCACAGCGCGTTGCCCCCCCCCCCCCCCCCCCCCCCCCCCCCCCCGAGCGCAGGAGCTTGTCACCTGCTGACAGCAGGCTGCTGTCTTTTCCGAGGGCTGCATCTTGCTGGTCATTATCACGTGACAGCGACTAGTCGACGACAGGCATAAAAAGTCACTACAGTAATCCCTCGTTTATCGCGGTAGATGTGTTCCAGACCTGGCCGCGATAGGTGAAAATCCGCGAAGTAGGGACTCCCAGCATGCCCCTCGCGGGGATTCCCTCCACGTTGCACCTACGTCACAAACTGCGGCTATAAACAGAAGTCGCCTTTCCAGCTCACCACTCAGTCATCGTTTCTTCAGATTCATGATCAGAGTTTCCAACCTACCGATCAATCCAACGAACTATCAGCTCATAGTAAGTTATGTTACTTACTTCTGGAAAGCCCGGCATTTCCGTGTCACTTCGTTGACGCTTGAACGCTCGGGGGTTTCCTAGATCAGCCGGCGTTTCACCGACGCTATCACTTCCGCGTCTGTGAAACCACGCTCCCTATTGAATTATCGTATGATCACATTCTCTTTTTGTGGGTAAAACTCAAGAAAAAAATTTTTTTACTTGTTTTTTTTTGTTTTATTACAAAAAGTGCATTTTATGATGAAATTGATGAAAAAAACAAGAATTTCTTGATATTTCGCATAGAAAAATACCGCGAATCAGTGAAAAATACTGCGAATCTGCGAATTCCCCCTGAAAAATGCTCCAAAGAAAAAAATCCGCGAAGCAGCGAATCCGTGATGAACGATCCGCGAAGTAGCGAGGGATTACTGTATAGTGAAGTTGACTAGTACATACACCCCCTACTGCTGCTCTCCAGAGTGTTCTGCAGCATAATCAGCACGTTCTCTTTGAACTTGATAGTGTAATGACCTGGCTGGGGTTGTGAGCCAGGTGCATTCTGGGTATTGTGTTATATGTGTTTCCTATCGTTCTGCTGGTTCCTATGTGCTGATTTGCGTGTTGTGTGAGTGTTATGTAAGCCACAGGGAAGGTGATGTGTGTTCTGTGGAGGGGTTGAATTAGCATGGTTAACTGACACCGTGACTCTGTGTGGTAGGAGCGTGATAGAGTATCGTGTCTGTAGCGTTACAAAGCGTTGAAGAAAAAGCTCAAGAAAAGGTCTGCGTGAACCTCTACTGCCTCCTGCTGGTTGATTTGGGGACTATAACCCTGCCGCTGGGACGCTCATAGTTGCTTGTTACCACATTCCACCCGGCCACAATAAGAGACCGGCCATTATTTACCTCCGTTGACTCCGACACCGGCCAAAATTGGAGACCCGGCCTTTAATTGAATACCGGCCTGTATTAGAGGATTTACGGTATGTGAAAACACAACTGATCTTTAAACCTAATACCCACAGCTGTAACAACTGCAAACAAGCATTTGTGAAAACTGGTAATGAGTCTATTTTGTATCACTCATTGTAACAGAAATGTTTAATGCTGCCACATTGGAGGGGTTTCCAGCACGGCTGTTTAGGGTCAAAGGAGAAACACTCTCATTTAGGGTTTTTCTGTTAGAGAGCAGAATTCAGGGTTCCACCAATTACAGCAGATTGTCCAGGTTCTGAAGCAGCAAAGCAACCCCAAACCATCACACCCCCACCACCATGCCTGTGATGTGATGCCTCATGATTTTCTTTTTATGAAAACAGTAAGACATACCCCCTCCAAAGTAAATTTGCTTTATTCTCATCAGGCCAAATGTCCAAATAAAATGGGCTTTTGTTTTCTTTTTGATCAGTATAGGTTTTGGACTTGAAACTCATGGAGGCCATTTTTGTCTCGTCTCGTCATGACCTCTGACAAGGGCTGAACCTTCTATCATTTTCTGATCAAAATTGCAATTTCAGACAGCACAATCATGTGTTCGTCAAAGCTGCAGTTTTTGGCAGCACTCCTGACTGACCCAGGATCTAGTGTCTACTATTTCACACCAAAGATGTTACGATGGTAGAACCAAGAGCCGACGAGGGATGGGGAAGTTGTTTGGTTTGCAAAACTGAAACCATTGCTTGAGTGGATTTAGTGACACATTTGGTTGTTTTCTGGACACTTTGTTTTCGTGGCGCTGCTCTTAAGGCTGGTATAATTTATGGCTGTGGTCTTCTGTTGCTGTTGATCATTTGCTGTCCCTAATTCAGCACCGTTGGTGGCTGTGAGATGGAGAGGCTGATTTAACCATCTTCCTGCAACAGTGGAAAGAGATTTATCACAATAACACTATGTGGAAAGCACAAATCCTCCTCTTTTAAGGTGTGGAACACTGAAAAAAACATTTTTATATGATGGTGTCTGGTTATAATCGTTCACTCCGAATTTTTAACGAAGGGTGAACATGAAAATAGTCTCCTACACCTATCTCCTGCATTAGCTTCTGACAGAAATTGACGGTGAAACTCTAAGATTTGAAAATCCTGAAATATCCGCCTCACACTGTCACTGAACATTCACGGACTCACCCATCTTGGCTCACAAGAAGGCTGTTGTTGGTTTAGTATCCAGGAAACAGCAGAGAACATCTTGGCTAGCAGACGCTAACCATTAGCATTAGTAGCTCCACCACATGACAGAACTCCTCCAGGCTTGTGTTATTTATGGAGGTAAAACATTAATGTTGCAAAGCAAACAGAGTCAGTGGTAGAGTCGCGTTACTGTGACCCAAGGCTAGATGTCCAGTTATCGGAAAATAAGTGTCCAAATTCCTGCCGTTCCACACCTTTAAAGAAATGTCAGATTTTTTTCTGATGGTACAAATATTTGTGGAGTTACGGTCAGTGTTGTGCAGTAACACGTTACTAATAACGCGTTACTGTAACTCCGTTACATTTGTCAGTAACTAATACTCATATGCGTTAGTTTTTAAATACAGTAACTCCGTTATCGTCACACTATGGTGCGTTTGTCCGTTACTAGCTAACTTCATAGAGTTTGGCAAAAAAAGTTAGCTGTGTGCTACTTCCTGTTTACAGCGGCGATGCCTTGCGGGAGTGTTTGATTTGGAGACCTCGCAGTCATGGCGGATTAAAGCAGGAGCAAACCGAGTTTCTCCTCATGGAAATATGCTCACTATTTCACATTAATTGAGCTCAAAGAGAAGAATATTCTTGTCAAGTGCAACCTATGTCTTTCTGGATCAAAAATCCTTTCTACAGCAGCAAACAGCAACTCCAATTTGTCAAAGCACCTCCAGAAATGACATGCTTCCACAAAGCTAGTTGAGAAGCCGGATGCTAACCTCCACTCGCAAAGCTAGCCATACCCCGCCAACCAAACAGCAATGGTTAGATTTTAACAAGACTGTTAGTGTTAGCCAAGGAGAGATAAACAAGGCCATCACACGGTTTGTTGTTGAGAACATGCAGCCTGTTTCAACTGTGGATTCGCCCGCTTTTCTGCAACTGATATTACGGTAAAGCAAAGAGCACATGTAAAATTTGTTAGTCCATAGTATTAGATTAGTTACGGTAAAGCAAAGAGCACATATAAAATTTGTTAGTCCATAGTATTAGATTAGTTACAGTAAAGCAAAGAGCACATGTAAAATTTGATAGTCCATAGTGTTAGATTAGTGCTTTTTTGAGAAAACCGTCCAGGCAACCCGCCGTGTCCTGTGTGTAAGTGGTACTGTACATTGAGAACATTGTGCTGAAGCTAAATTTGATGAAAACTGTGAATCAAGTTGAAATTGTAATTTGTCCAGAAAACTCTCAATTCAGTCTTTCTTAAAAGTGTTCACCTCTGACCTCAATCTTCACCAAGTGAGTCCCACAAAGCTTTTAGATTTGTTTTGGATCCTCTTTTCTTCTTTCCTTTTTTAGAAAAAGGTGCGATGTGTTGCTATTTGAGAGCTACTTCATGTCTACTGAAGTGATTTTTTATTTCTACAGGAGATCAATCACATTTTACATAGTACCAGGTTTGTTTTTTTACCTTAATAAATAAAATAATTATTTTAAAACTGGATTTTGTATTTACTCAGGTTATTTTAGTCTCATAATGAAAATGCTGATCTGAAACAATTATGTCAAACACAATAAAAATGTAAGGGGGAAAATACTTGATCACAACATAAAATTTAATTAGCAAAGTGTTTCATTTTTTCTTCAGTTATAAACACAACTTCCTGCATTTTAACCCTCCTCAAACACTGTTTTAGCATAAGAGGTTCTCCTTATGCTGAAGGTAGGTTTTAGTCATTTATTCCCTATTGTTGTCATCACTAATGGAACAATGCACAATTTTTAATTACCTGCACTAAACACGTTCTGAATAACAAGATGTATCTTGTAACAAAGGACTTGTTGTAGAACAAGGGTTTTATTCTCTGGAGAAGGTTTCGTTTTCATGTTTGTGTCAGGTGGTTGACTCTTCAGCTAAATGAAAGACATGCCACAAAAACAGTCAATTCCTTAGATGAAGAAACAGACATACAAATAAATCATGCAGGTCACAAACTTGTATTTGTCTGATGCGTTTTCCCCCAGGCAAAATCTGGAGCAACGCTGGAGAGCAGAGCTTTGATCGTCTGCTGGAGAGACTGAGGGCACACCTGCCCAAGGCCAGAGTAGTGGCATGTTTTTGTGAAGGCATGACTGTTCGCAACATCCTCATGGCTATGAGACGTCAGGGACTGGTTGGAGAGTTCCTCCTGGTTGGCAGGTCAGTTTGGCTTCAAAGTGTCTCTTTGTTGTGTCGACTGATCCTAGATATGCAGTGTTTCCCCCATGAAAAAGGCCTGCTGACTGTGCATCCTGTAAAACATAGAGACAAGCTATACACAGGCAACAAACCAAAAGGAAACACAAAAAAATTGTCAGATTTTAGACTTTACCCTGAGGTAGCTGTGGAACTAATCAGCCTACTCATATGCACTTGATTTGAGATGTATAGGCTTCTCAATCCAAGTATTTTAGAAGTAAAAAAAATGAATCCCACAATTTTTATTTTGGAAGTAGATTTCACATTATACTTAATTTTTATGCAGATTTATTCCTCCTACAATTTAGTAGCAAACATAACCCTCCAAATGAACATTTTTCCTCTGTTGATTTGTGCATTAATATGAAAATTACATGTCAAATTTTAGACTTTTAGTTGTCATGCCAACTATCTAATTAACATAGGATGAATAATGTTTTTGGCATTTTGTCAGCCAGTCTGCAGAAAGTAAATCAGATGTAGGATAACTTGGAAGTAGTCATGTGTGATTAGCACTAAAACGTTCCAAAAAATAACACTTTTTGATTCTACTTTTCTTCCAGTGATCAGTCCTGTGTAATTAAATCATCGTAGCCCACATCATTTGTGTTGTCATCGCCAGCATGATGCTCATTATCATCTCACTCATCTTACTCATCAGTCTTCTCTCATCAGAATCATCCCCATCCAAAAGGAACTGAGGTAAAAATTAATCAGCACCAAGTTTGTTGTTAGTCTGGCCTCTAGAGACAAAAGGTCAATTGTGAAAGAAAAAAATACACAGATTCATCTTTGCCACAAGCTTTCCTAATTCAATAAAAAAATAATTTATTGCAGTTAGCTCATTATTTGGCATTTCAATTAAAAAAGTCTTAGTGATTAGTTAAAATGGCTGGTTTCTGTTTTGTAATGTTAGGACTCAGTCTCTGGCCAGTCGGTTATGATTATTTAATTTAATTGAAAATCACCCTTCATTAGCATCTATATCATAAACGGGCTGCAATTACTAATTAGATATAGTTCTGTTCCATGGCGAAATCGAAACTTCCGTTGTTTTGTTTGGCTGTGTCAGGTTGGAGGGAATTAAGGTTATTTAAGTGGTTCAGAGTTAATAAAGCGGTAGATATGAAGTTTCACAAGGTGCTGCTAGAGTTATGTGAAATCTTACTTCTGATTTTACTATATGAACATAATAATAATCAACTTCTTCTTCATGTTTGCTCGGAGATGTGCGGAGCATCCTGTCCGCTCATTGGTCAGTGAATGAAACTTTTGTTGATTGGTCCTCGTCCGAGCGACAGCGATGAAAAGTTGAAAATATTTCAACTTTCTGGGATCACGTCGCTGGGTCGCCTGTGCACGACACGTGCACGAGCGCTAAATTTCACACGCACGCTTTTTGCCTTTCACTTAGTAGGAGGGAGACCCGCGATTATCGTTTTGTCGCGCATGTCTCATTGAAAATGAATGGAGGAGAGGCGATGTCGCCTCCTGTGTGTCAAGCCCATAACATTGGAGCACCACAGGGGACTGTACTCTCACCATTCCTTTTCACCCTGTACACCTCAGACTTCCAGTACAAATCAGAGACCTGTCATCTACAGAAATACTCAGATAACTCTGCAGTTGTCGGGTGTATCAGAGATGGACAGGAAGCTGAGTACAGAGAGCTGGTGGAGCGCTTTGTGGCATGGTGTGGAAACAATCATCTGACCTTGAATGTGAACAAAACAAAGGAGATGATTTTAGACTTCAGAAGAAACAGGGTGGAGTCAAACACTGTTTCCATCATGGGAGAAGAAGTGGAGGTGGTTGAGGAATACAAATACCTTGGAGTTCACCTGGACAACAGACTGGACTGGAGAAAGAACAGCGAAGCCGTTTACAAGAAGGGACACAGCAGACTGCACTTCTTGAGGATGCTTAGGTCCTTCAATGTCTGTAGCAAGATGCTGCAGATCTTCTACAAGTCTGTTGTTGAGAGTGTAATCTCTTCAGCCTTCGTCTGTTGGGGTAGCAGCATCAGAAGCAGGGACCTGAAAAGGCTCAACAGCCTAATAAAAAAGGCTGGTTCTGTTCTGGGGACGACTGTGGAACCATTGGAGGACATAATGCAAAGAAGGATTCTCCAGAGGATCAAGAAAATGATGGACAACCCTGAGCATTCTCTTCACAAGACTGTCCGACAACGGAAGAGTGTCTTCAGTCAGAGGCTTCTTCAGTTTGGCTGCAACACTGACCGCTACTGGAGATCCTTCCTGCCAACAGCCATTGTAATATACAATAACTCTTTGATGACTTGATTATTATTATTATTCTGAGCTACTACAGCAATCAATTTCCCTCTGGGATTAATAAAGTATTTTTGAATTGAATTGAATTGAACTGATTTGAATTCAATTGAATTCCCACTCCCCAGCCACTTGGGCCAGCTTTTCCAGGGGAATCCTTAGGTGATTCCTGGCCTGCTGAGAAACATACTCCCTCCAGCGTGTCCTGAGTCTTCCTTTAGGTCTCCTCCCGGTCGGACGTGCCAGGAAAACCTTACCAGGGAGGCGTCCAGGAGGCATCCTACCCGACTATACATTCAAACATATAGGATGGCTTGCCAGGCTAACAATTATCACAAAAAACCTAGATGCATTTATTAGATTGCATAAATGTAAAAGCACACAAAATGAAGTTGCAAAAACCTGTTTCAAACAACAATAACGCCACTTTGATGCAAAGTGGAGACGGTATCAGGAAGCCTTTGGTCACTCATAAGTGGTCTGCCTGTGGCGGTAATGAGGCACCATCACAGGTGTTTCCACAAAAGATTATGCAGTGGGGTGTGTGAGAGGTATCCATGCTGTTAACATGCAAGATTACGTATAAACTGTGACATGTAAGAGTCCATGGCACACAAACAAGATGGCAGACATTGTTATTCTGTCTTGTTATCTGTTTATCAGCTGTAAAGGCTAGACGCACCCAGATCTCTGCACTGCCCCAATTTTACGTCTTGACCTATGCTGTTACAAATGTGAACGGGACCCCCCATGTTTACTTGTGCTTTAAATCTTATTGCGGGCTGTGGCACAATGTAAATTCAACACATCAACATATCTTCATTCAGAAGTCCAGTGCTGCAGGAATGTTACTGTCAAGCTTTAAGACCAAATAGTGCCATTTTCTCCATGCTATGCAGCTGCAGCGGTTTCAAAGGACACACCATGGTGGCAGTGTTACCCTTATACGCAGCCACGGTGTATCATTTCTTCCAGAGTGTATTGATTGCTCCAATCCTGTAATTCCTTGTGGTGCCAGAGGGCTACAGGCCCATTAAAGAGTAGCTGGGCTGAGATAAATAACTGTTGCCACTTAGGAGATATAGATTACACCTCATTCTCTGAGCACATACACAGATGTGTGTTTTAACACCACAAATGGGCTTCATACCATGCCATTAATTGTCTAATTGTCTTTATCTGAATAACTTTTGCTTTACCTTAACGTAGCCGATGCATTATTAATGAACAAACCATTTAAGGATGATGTTTCTTTCACAGGCCAGAGCTAATAAACACAGTGACATATGTGGTGACTTCATCCCTTTAGTTTATGGTCAGTCAATACAGTTTGATAAATTTGTTCCTCTCAAGCACAGTTCGGGTTCTGTTTCTTCCCCATTAGTTCAATTTATGTGTTTCCTTATTTGCTGGGACTCTACACTACAATTCATGGTAATCTAATTAGCCTAGTTTTGTGCATAAACTTGCTAAAGTTTAAAAAAATGAATCAGTTTAAACATTAGAGAGTAAGAACTGGGTTAAAACCAGTGGTTTGCATTTTGATCAGCCAGTCTTGCATGTCAAGTACTGCAGGATGGATTGTCATGCCAGACAATCTGTAAGCAAGGCTGACTCCTGTGGTTACAGTATGTGTGTGTGTGTGTGTGTGTGTGTGTGTGTGTGTGTGTGTGTGTGTGTGTGTGTGTGTGTGTGTGTGTGTGTGTGTGAGGCAGGTATTCTGGTTGAAATAAAAGCATGACTGCACCACTGAATGAAGTGAAAAAGAATAGTTTGAATCAAAAGTCAAGGAGACTTTCTCTAGAGATCATCCCACAGAAGTCTGCACCCCTTCTGTCTGCTGTTGCCATGGAAATTTTCCCTACCACATTTGGATGTATCAGGCATAGCAGCAGGGATGTTACTACATGTGGCGCATGCGCCTGTGTTTATGTGAATGGCTATGTTCATGCGTGGGTGCTTTATTTGTATGTGTGTGTGTGTGTGAGAGAGAGAGAGCGTGTGAGTGTGTGCCAGTAAGCGTATCATGCTCGCCAGTTTCTCTGCAAAGACATTGTCCCACCGGCCATGCTTTGAACTAAACTGATCAACGATAGAAGGCCATGTATGGTTATTAATGTCCTTTCTAATGTGGCCCTTCTGAGTGTGTGTGTGTGTGTGTGTGTGTGTGTGTGTGTGTGTGTGTGTGTGTGTGTGTGTGTGTGTGTGTGTGTGTGTGTGTGGACTGAAGTGTGCATGCATGCCCCCCTCCCCCTTGTACATTCAGAAATGGATCATGCCATCTTTCCTTCTGACTGTTCCTCATTGGATCCAATTGCCTGCATTTTATCCAAGTGCAGACGTGTGATACTTAGCAGTGAATTTCAGCTGATTATTTATTCAGTCACAGTTCTGCAGTTTCCCACACCACACTGCATCTGTCTGAAAAGACTGCACTTTTTTGTTTATAAATTCAGAAGGAAAAAAAAACCCTGTGGAAACAGGCATTGTGTTTCATAGTAAACCATCTAAGTAACTGTAGATGTAGAAAAGCAGCTTGTTTTTAAATTATTTTTTGTAGGAGGATGTTCAGGTGAAATAAAACACTGTAGACAGCACAGGAACACAGATCACGGAGATGAAAGAAGAATAAGAAAGAAGAAGGTGCATGGCATCAATATATCATGGTAA